TGACTGGTCAATATTGGAGAATGTCCCATTTTGAATTTGGAAATGTATGGGTGTGTCACTGCATCTACTCTTAAGAACAAGGACTCCAAGGCCCTTCCTCGAGGGTTGCACAAAGTGTCTCCCCAGAGATGATGCCGACCATTGAAGTCTCCCAAGAGCAGAAATGGATGAGGTAACTGCCCAAGTAAATCTTCCAAATCATCTATGTTGAGATTATGTGGAGGGAGGTAGATGGATGCAATAGTGTAAAGTCGTGTTAAGCCCATTCTCACAGCCTTCATCTGCAGTGTCGTCTGCAGGTGGATGGCCTGGAAGGGAATATCCTGACATACCATCGCTGCAACTCCTCCATGAGGTCCATTATCGAAGGTTCCATAATGGGCATGCACTTGGAATCCTTTCAGGGAAATTGGACGATTTTTCCTGGTCATAATCTCTTGTAGGCACACATGAAGCTATCATATGTTGCAGTTCTTCCCGTTTTGCATGAATTCCCTGACAGTTCCATTGGATTAGGGTATCCAGTTCTTTATATTAACAAACTATTTCATAAGGTGTGTGGTAACACCTGTGGTTAAGGCCAGCCCCACACCTTTAGGCTGTCCCTTTCCAGCATCTTGGGAGTACCTTTTGATGGGTTGTTTACCTGTGGAACTAGTTTCCACAGACTTCCTTTGGACAGGCTCTGGATTTCTTTGCTTGGGCAAAGGACGGACCTGAGCCTTCGGTTCAGGAGCATTCTGTCTAGCAGTGGGGGCCCCTATGGATGTGGTGGCTTCTAGAGCTAGAGTCTTTTGAACAGGCTCAGGATTCCTCTGCCTGTACAAAGTTGCTTTAGGAGCATTCTACCTAGCAGCAGAGGCCCCTGTGGATGTGGTCGCAGCTGAAGCTGTCACCGTCAAGGCCTCTGTAGCCTCCTCAATAGACCCTTCACTTCTACTCCGTGTCTGGTGGAACAACTCACCAGAGGTAGTTTCAGCATTTCAGGACCGAGGTTTAAAGGTAGCGGCAGAATGTGTGGCACATAGGGACGTCACTTTGCTTATACAAAACTTTCTCCTTGCTCCTCATTACCAATACTTCTTTTTCATAATTGTACCTTTTACATTGATTAGAAGACGCTTCATTATCTTCTTTGCAGTGGTAACAGCATATTGGACCTGGACAGTTGTCATCTCCTTGATGACCTGTTGTACCACACTTCACACACTCTTGGTTGTCCATTTTCCTTAAAACGGCAGTGGAAGCATCGCATAGGATTGGGCACATATGGCTTTACCTTGAGGTGGTACCAAACCAAATTAATTGATTCAGGAAGGACTAACGATTCAAAAGTTAAAAGAGCTGGTGTCGACTGTTCCAAACCATCAACTTTCTTCTAACAGTTTCTCCTCAGATTACCTCATCAGGTCTCGGGAAAAGACAATTCTCTTACACTAATTGAGGGTTTTGTGAGCATATTGCACGCAGACGGTCACTCTCTATCAGGCTACCTCAACTATCTTCCGATGTACTTCAAAAATATCAAGATCCATGATAGATACACCATCAATAGTATTCACTACTAGGTATTTACTATATGATACACTTTCTTACCAGGTAAGATGTCCTTGATGGATTGAGGACTTTTCTCCTTATTTCCTGGTTTGGGAGCTCAGGAATCATTACAATTCCCATTCTTGCCCTTTGGAATATGGTAAGGTTCCAGAATGCCATAATGTGATGTTAAAGAGGGATTGAGTGCACCATCCCCTCTCATAGGTCTTGGTACACCAGAAAGCCATTTTCTCTCATCCCTCACTGGTGACCCCTTCAGTATGGATAGCCCTCTGGTCCGGCTCACCAGATCACTGGGACCTCAGTCGCCCCAACCGCGGCAAGGCGGTTTACATTAGAAGGGGCTTGTGGAGGAAAGCCCTAGGGAGCCCTGCAGTTGGATCTTGGGACCTACAGCCAGCCAACCCCCTCTATATGGGGCGCCGTCGGTAGGGGTGGCAGAAGTGGCGCCCATCTGAAGTGACTGCCCAAGGCTTGGAACGTCCATTCGACAGGACGATCGGTTACCACTACTGTCGAGGGAATTGAACCAGCTGAGAGTTGAGGTGGCTGCTCTCTCGGAGGTGAGATTGATTATTTAGAATTATCTGCCGCGTTAACAGCTAAGGTCATTAGCGGCGAACACCTTGTTAGACTGAAATATTAAAATATTTAAAACATTAAAAATCTATCAATAAATGTTTTAAATAACATAATAAATGAATAATTGATGCTTCTGCTGCAAGGTGAATCCGCGATGTGAAGTGATTAACAGCATCTTGAACACACTGGAAATCATTCACAGATCCTTGCAATACTGCAGTTGAGCTAAAAAGATTCCAGTCTACATGGTCAAGTCGCCATCTCTGCACTCCATTGGCTGGAATACCATTCACCTCTTTCAAAAGTATTGGAAAGTGGTCACTTCCATGCAAGTCTTCCATGACCTGCCAAGTGAAATTCAACTGGGAATCAGGTGAACCAACTGACAAGTCAGTATTGGAGAATGTCCCAGTTTGAATTTGGAAATGTGTGGGTGCATCACTGTTCAGGAAAACTGCATCTATTCTTGAGAACAAGAACTCCAAGGCCCTTCCTCGAGGGTTGCACAAAGTGTCTCCCCAGAGGTGATGCCGACCATTGAAGTCTCCCAAGAGTAGAAATGGATGATGGAACTGCCCAAGTAAATCTTCCAAATCATCTATGTTAAGATTATGCGGAGGGAGGTAGATGGATGCAACAGTATAAGGTCATGTCAAGCCTATTCTCACAGCCTTCACCTGCAGTGTTGTCTGCAGGTGGATGGCCTGGAAGGGAATATCCTGACGTACCATCACTGCAACTCCTCCATGAGGTCCATTATCAAAGGTCCCATAATGGGCTTGAACTTGGAAAAGGACGGACCTGAGCCTTTGGTTCAGGAGCAATCTGTCTAGCAGCGGAGGCCCCTGTGGATGTGGTGGCCTCTGGAGCCCTGCCTGCCTCAACAGACCCTTCACTCCTACTCCGTTTCTGGTGGAACAACTCACCAGAGGAGTTTTAAAGGTAGTGGTAGAGTGTGAGGTGTTAGAAGTATTGGAAGGTAAGGGACGGCGGAAAGGAGAACGGGCTAGAACTGAAGCATAGGACTTACCCAGCTGTGCAAACAGTACACGGGCATGTCGCTTTGCTTCTGCAAAACTAACTTTCTCCCTGCTCCTTATTACCAATACTTCTTTTTCAAACTTGTATCTTTTACATTGCTTAGAAGCTTCATGTTCTTCTTTGCAGTGGTAACAGCATACTGGACCTGGACAGTTGTCATCTCCTTGATGACCTGTTGTACCCCACTTCACACACACTCTTGGTTATCCATTTTCCTTAAAGCGGCAAGAGTTGGCTCCATGCCCATAACCCTGACAGTGGAAGCACCGCATAAGGTTGGGTATATATGGCTTTACCTTGAGGTGGTACCAAGCCAACTTAACCGATTCAGGAAGGACTAATGTTTCAAAAGTTAAAAGAAGAGCTGGTGTCGACTGTTCTAAACCATCAATTTTCTTCTTAAAATGTTTTACAGCCACTACATTAAAATTCTTTAATTCTTCTAACAGTTTCTCCCCAGAATAGCTCATGAGGTCTCGGGAAAAAACAATTCCCTTACACTGATTGAGTGTTTTGTGAGAACATGAGACTTGAGCCCCAGGAGTGTTGCATATAGTTGGGACTTCAAATCTCCCAACACCCAACAGGAAGTATACGCAGTCACTATTAGTGCTAACGGTAGTCGAGGGATTGATCGATTGATTGATTATTTACAATTATCTGCCGCGGGACCTATGCGATACCGACTGGATAGTGCCTACTTGACCCTAGCCATATTGACTTGACCGGGCCTTGATCAAGCCACCCGTCTAACCAGAATAAAGGACCAAAGAGGTGTGTTGCTAGCTGCAGGGCACAGCGTGCAGGATCGCTCAACCTCCAGGAATCCCGTCTCGGAGGTGAGATCTGGCAGAGACACGGTTATTGTGGGTGGCTAAACCTATTACTGGTTGGGCCGCAGCCATGGCTACCATCTACAGGAAGTAGCCATAGCTATCTCTGGGTAGTAGAGGTCACTCCAGTCGATGAGTATATTAAAGTATTGAGACTGAAGCTTCCATTTGGCTTCATGTCTCTTATTGTTGTGTACACTCCTATTGATGTATATAAACTTGAGGTGAAAGAGATGTTTTATGCCAAACTTGCATCTGTGACAGACAGCTGTCCTCGGTGAGATATTCATATTGTTCTGGGTGACTTCAATGCGGTATCCGGCTGTGATCGAGCTGGTTACGAGATGTCGGTTTATTCTCATGGCTCAGGAGCTGACGTTGGAAGCGAGAATAGCCTCCTTTTCTGTGACTTTGCTAGGTCCCAGAAATTGAGGATTTCTGACTCCTGATATCAGCGTTCTGACCCGCACTCCACATGCAAGGTATATCAAAGCGACGAGTTCTATGGAACTGATAATAGATTAGTTGTGGCTTCTCTCCGGGTCCACTTTAGAACCCCCCATCGCCCTAATGAACACCCTAGGGTGCTTCATGTAGACAGATTTAGGGAAGATGAGTGTACCCATATCTACACATGCACACACACACACACACACACACACACACACACACACACACACACACACACACATATATATATATATATATATATAAATATATATATATATATATACTACATTAACACTGTGTGTGTGTTTTTTTGTGTGTGTGTGAGTGTGTGCATGCTGGTATATTTATATGCCTGTATGTCTATATCAGATCATGGTAGACAAGAAGACGCCACAGAATATATGTATTAGTATTCTTTATTCAACAGAAAATGTTTCGGCTCCTACTTCACGAACCATCAACAGGAAGAATCTCAATAAAAAAATCTAACACATATAAGTCACTTACAATGTAAAATAAAAGAAACACTGACATAAC